TTTTAATGAATTCATCACTGCTATCAGGCAGCGTCCCCGCTATGTTTAAACATGCAGTTATCCAACCTATTATTAAGAAAAGTAATCTTGACCCAAATGTCCTCTCAAACTATAGGCCGATATCTAAACTCCCCTTTATGGCTAAAGTTTTAGAGAAAATTGTTCTTAAGCAATTGCAATCTTTCTTAGAGGCAAATGGAATCAATGAAAAATTCCAGTCTGGTTTTAAACCCCACCACAGTACCGAGACAGCCTTACTGAGAGTTTTTAATGATCTCCTCGTAACTGTTGATACAGGGCGCCCTGTGGTTTTAGTTCTTTTAGACTTGTCCTCTGCTTTTGATACGGTCGACCATGATATTCTCCTTTCAAGGCTTGAACATGTAGTTGGTCTTAGAGGCAAAGTACTCTCGTGGTTTAAATCATACCTAACTGAGAGGTCTTTCTCTGTCTCTATGGGAAATCACTCTTCCTCCTCTGCACCTCTCCGTTGTGGTGTGCCCCAGGGGTCTGTGTTAAGTCCAACACTGTTTTCTCTCTATCTGTTACCCCTGGGAAAAATTTTCAGGAACCACAATATCTCTTTCCACTGCTATGCGGATGATATCCAAATCTACTTCCCTCTAGACCTGGATCTCCAATCCCCGCTATTGCCGTTGCTTAACTGTCTGTGTGACGTCAAAGACTGGCTACTGCATAATTCGCTCACCCTCAACGAAAATAAAACAGAAATGATCGTCTTTGGTAGCCACATGCCGTTGAAACAGCTATCGGAGGACCTTAGGTTCTTATGCCAGTCACCTATCGTCTACTGTAAGAAATCTTGGAGTAGTGCTGGACAGTTCCCTCAAATTAGATAAGCAAGTGGCTGCAGTAGTAAAAACCAGCTTCTTTCAACTACGCCAAATTTCGAAGGCAATGCCTTACTTACAACACAAGGACCTTGAAAGGCTCATTCATGCTTTTATAACCTCTAGGCTGGACTATTGTAATTCTCTTTACCTAGGCCTGCAACTGTCCCTCATCCAACGCCTACAATTAGTCCAGAATGCCGCTGCACGCCTTTTAAGCGGCACTAGAAGACAGGATCATATCACTCCTATTCTAGCTAACCTCCATTGGCTTCCTGTCAAATACCGTATTGTTTTTAAAATCCTTTTATACACTTTTAAAATTTTAAATAACCTGGCACCTAGTTATCTGATTGACCTTCTTAATTTATATATCCCCTCAAGGGCACTCAGATCCTCTAATCAGGGGCTCCTAATGCAACCAATGTCTCGACTAAAGACGAAAGGGGATCGTGCCTTTGCTTTTGCTGCACCAAAACTTTGGAACAGCTTGCCAGTTGATGTCCGTGCGTCGGAAACTATTCAATCTTTCAAATCACGGTTAAAAACCCATTTGTTTAAGCTCGCCTTTCAAACTATTTAGTATAATTTCCTCCCGGTTCGTGCTTGTTATAATATTACCATCCTATAACTGTATTTCTTTGTTGTTGACTGTTTTCTTTTGTTGTAAATCTGCAAATATGGCTCGTCTGTGAAGCACTTTGTTGTACCTGTGACTCTTAAATGTGCTATAGAAATAAAATTGAAATTGAAAATTGGTTGTTTTCAGTGATGCTTCTTTTGGTAACCTTCCTGATGGCGGTACTCAAGGAGGGGCATTAATCGTCCTTATGGGTAAAGGAGGAAAGTTTTGTCCTCTCTTCTGGCAGTCTAAAAAAATCAGGCGTGTGGTCAGAAGTACACTGGCAGGAGAAACTCTTGCCATGTCAGATGGAATAGACAGTGCTGTCTTCCTGGCAACACTTTTTTCTGAGCTTACAACTGGTAACACTGGTCTAAACGCTCTTCCTTTGATCTGTGTAACTGATAATCATTCCTTGTTTGATGCACTCAAGTCTACTAAGCAGGTTACAGAGAAGAGACTGAGGCTAGAAATGAGCAGCATTAAAGAGCTCATACAAGCCAAGAAAATCAGACAGGTTTGTTGGTCAGATTCAAAATCTCAACTTGCTGATTGTCTGACAAAAAAGGGAGTTTCACCTTTAACCCTTCTAAAGGCGCTAGATGAAGGACTCTGGATACTGTAATCCTTTGTTTACTTTGCATTCAAATGCACCTTATTTATTTTGTGTAGTATAGTATGCTTTAGTTAAAGTGAAGCACATCTGAATTTCTTGAATGTTCATGTTGACAAGTTTTTTTTTGTGTGTTATATAATATATATATATATATATATATATATATTATATATATATATATATATACTACTTAATTATACACACACAAATGTTTTAAACCTGTATGTTTATATCTTTATTTTACAAGAAAGAGAGAGATTGTTAACTTGTTATTTTCTGTTATATCGCGAGAGTGCGGTAGCAATGTCTTTTATTGTTTGTTTCTGTTTGTTTGTTGTTTGTTTTCAATTTAAAAAATGAAAACAAAAACTTAAAAAAAAAAAAAAAAAAGGGAGTTTTTTGTCCCACTATTGCCAAATCGCTTCGAATGTAAAGTTCCTTGAAGCAGCTGTTGTTGTGATTTGGCACTACACAAATTGAATTGTACTGAATTGTAGTTTCTGTTAATCCTTCACTCCTTTTATTGGTTCCTTATTGTTTTGTTCTTTATCCCCTCAGCTCTTTTTTTTTTAGTTACAGATAACCTTAGTTCCCTTTTCTGTCCCCATTCTTTATTAGGTTCCCATCTCTGGGTCAGATATTTTCATGTTTATGTTACTTCCCATGTTTTTTGGGGTGGTTTTTGACACTTGTGTTTTGTTTTTAGTTATACTTCGTCTCTCTCATCCACCATTATTAGTTTCAGCTGTGTTTGTTCCCCCTTCCTTCATTATCTTGTGTGTATTTAAAACCTCGATCTCCTTGTCTTCTTTGTCACGATTAACAGCTTGTTCGCTGTTGTTTCCTGTTGTCTGCTGTTTGTGATGCTGTTGCATAGTAAATCATAGGATTTGAGAACTTTTTTCCCCCTAAAAATCACAACAGTAGCAATTCTAGTAACTGAAATTGGACTTGATGCATTTGAAGTTGGGGAAGTAAGAGTGGCCCAGGGAGAGAGCGATTTTGCAGCGGCCAATGAAAACATAGGCCAGTTTGAGGAGACAGAGCTCCCAAGGTGGTATATATAATGAGAACTTCCAGACAGGTTTTTAACAACTCTTAAGATTGCACAGCACTGAGGCTGAATGCTGGCAACAAGAATTGCTGAGAGGAGAATAGACTGCAGGCCTCACAGAATGCAATGCAGGAACTTTTACTCCAGCTATTACACAGGAGAGCTTCACGGTTTGGGATTGTGATGGGGTCGAAAGATAATGCTTCCTGAAATCAAAATGATTGAAGTTATGCATAAGATTCATTTGTTGTCTGTTATGGTCGTACTGACAGTGTGCATGTGAGAATGGATGACTCATGACTGCAGAACAAATCAGCCTATGGGGACAAATAAAGTGACCTGAACATTACAAGCCAAATTTTATGATGGATATGAAAAAAATTACAAATTTGTTGCAAAGTGCTCAGCAGCTGTGAGACCTCTCTGTTTTCCCCTGCAAAATTTTGTTTGCCACAAAGGCCATTGTGGAAAAATAACTGGGCAAGCCAACAGCACGTCTTTGGTCCATTAATTTGACCATTTTCCTGAAACATTTGTTGCATTAATTTGTTTAGTAGACACACTCCTTTGGCTGAATGGAATGCGATCATTTCAGTGTACCTTTTGAAGCTGGATAGTTACACAGGTTGCAATAATGATGCACTGTAACTTTAAAAATCCAGATCCAAATATGTGGCTTGTGCTGCTCCAGCTCTAGCAAAAAATAAACAAACAACAACAACAAAAAAAGACTCATAGAGCACAACCCTGAACCTTAACTTTTACTTGACTTTACTTTTACTTTTCACCAAAATTAAATCAGCTCGAACTGTTATTCGTATCGACCACCACACAAAATTGAACATATCTTGAAAACTGTGGATGCTAGTCCTGCAAACAGACAAACAGACACAGCTGAGTACATACTCCCTTCAGGGGGAGAATAGCAGCACCAATCACACTTAAAATAAGCACGTTACAAGTTTTAAGCTGCAACTGTATCGCTTCACATTTTTATACCTTCAGCAGGCCTGCTTGTTTGTAACGTTACACTGACTTGCACTGCTGTTGTTGGGTTGCATTGTGAATGAATGTATTTACATTTGGTGTGGCTGTAGCTCAGGTGGTGGAGCAGGTCAGCTACCAACTGGAAGGTTGGTAGTTGGCAGCTTAGAAAAAGTGCATGTGTGAATGAATTAGTTATATAAACTGCCTGGTCTTTTACTTCATCCTAGTTCATCCATTGTAGTAAATCTGGCCCTACAGGTCTTTTTTACTGTAAGATAAAGAGTCAGTCAGTTGAATGGGACAGAAGAAGATGGATGGATGTTTTTTCTTACATGTACATGCACAAACACACGCATACATGTACACAGTCACAAATGTCAGAATACAGGATGTTGTAAAACTCATCCTTCTGCTCTCTGTGTCCACAGTCTCGTGTTTCCAGATCGAACATTTTACCTTTGTGCTAAGACGGGTGTGGAGGCAGATGAGTGGATCAAGATGTTGAGGTGGAAACTGGTGAGTTTGTCCAAACTGCATGTTTTACATGAAGGAATGTTTTTGTCATCAACTAAAATAATTAAAATCAAACATTTTCTGAAAATGGGATATTGCAGGAGAAGGTTCAACATGTTGAGGGAACATTAATATTTATAAGGCTTAGGTCACGGCTCAGTGGAATTGGCTCTGAAGGAGGATTTGTACTTTAAGCGGTACCAGCATTGTGTGAAGTGTTGTAATAGCTTGTGTAACATTAGGCCACTTCCTTATTACTGACAAACACAACATTTCTTCAACTCCAAGTTATTTAAATAGCCTTGAGACGATTGCACAGTGATCTGTTAAATGCAAGAAAGGGTTTTTATACCAGACAAAAAATAAGGAACAATCCTGATACTACTAGTATTACTAGAGAATACCTTAACTATATCTCTCTCATCATAAAGTAGAGCATTACAGCCAGTTACCAGTGAACGTTTTTCAAACGGTTCAAGCACTGTGGTTGCAAAATTCCCCCGAAGCAGTGTACCAGTGACAGACTAATCTGTCTTAGTTGCACAACCCAGGCTTCAAAACCTGGTGAAAAGCCGTTGTTTCCTTTTCAATTTTTCATATTGGTCCATTTAACAGAGCCAACAAACACTGATAATTACTGTTATATTGCTGTTGTTGCCTCACTGTTTGGGAGAATTTACTGCTACTGCTGTTTTGTTCATAATGTATTCACTATTTGTGGACATTTGTGTGTAGTGTCAATGTTGGTAAGTTGATTATCCCCTTTTGTCATGGTTGTTTTAATTATGAGAAAATATATTAAACCACACTTTGAATATATACTCTTAATTGACTATTTATAAAATACTATGAAAGTTCCATACATGTAGAGATGCAGGGTGTATCTGCATATATATTAAAAAGGAGACAACTATTCATAACATGAGTTCAGAGGGGGAAAGTATTTCTGGAGTGTTTGCCGGAGCGTACAGTCATATGAAAAGAAAGTTATGTAAGACGCTATGTGGTCCTTTGAAAAATGAAGAATACTCTTATTATTTCAGAGTATTGCTGCTAACGGTGGTTCAATAAGCTACTGAATCACATGGTCTTTTCCACAGGACTCTACACAATCCTGTGAAAACGTTTTTCACAGGATTGTACATACTGGAAAGTTTAAACAAGTGGTAAGATTTTATAATATTGACACGCTGTTAAGCATAAGTAAGAGATTATTAAGTACTAAGTCTATCCTTTGAAAAGCTCCTTGGTACGTAATTTATAAATACAGATATAAAAGTTGATTCTTGATTAGAATCGTTTATAACTTGTTCATGGTATTGTTTAGAAGTAATTAACAAACAATTTAGATGTACATTGATACAGTGGGTTAAATAAGCACGTCACCAACTTTCAAAATAAACATATTTCTAAAGGTGCTTTTGACATGACATTCTCACCAGATGTCAGTAATAACCAATCCATTCCACACATGCAAAAAAATCAAACCATGGATATCCACAAATCAAATTATGTGTGATATTTAGAAAATATCACAGGGAAACATTGAGCACATTTACTGAAATATATTTAATGCTTTGTACAAAAGCCTTTATGAGTGATGAAAGCGTCAACATGTCTTCTGTATGGAGTCATATGCATTGAGTGCATTGCTTATTGTTTTCTTTGATTCCAATTCTTTCTGTAGCTCTCCTTGTTCTTGGACAACTTTTCTGATCATTCTTTTCACTTCTCTGACTGAAATCTTGTGGGAGCCCCTGGTCATGGTCAGTTTATGGTGAAATTCTATCTATCTATCTATCTATCTATCTATCTATCTATCTATCTATCTATCTATCTGTCTATCTATCTATCTATCTATCTATCTATCTATCTATCTATCTATCTATCTATCTATCTATCTATCTATCTATCTATCTATCTATCTATCTATCTATCTATCTATCATCTATCTATCTATCTATCTATCTATCTATCTATCTGTCTCTCTCTCTCTCTGGAAGTCCCACAGGATATTAGCTCGGTCATTTTAAACCACTCTAGGGGGCGTGTCTCATTGTGACCTTGGTACTTGCAAACCGTACTCAGCACAGATGTCCCTGTACACTATGCTGGCTGCTTGGTTATGGCATTCGATTTATGCCGTGCCTGCTAGCACCTTGCACCCTGCTGTTATGTGCAGAATTGTCTCCTGAGCATTTTACACAGCCTAAACATAAACATTTATAAATTACATACTGAGGAGTAATGTTTTTTAAACAATGAATTAATCCCTTAATAGTTTGTCATTATTATACAGTGTTGGGTATAAAGTGTTAGCCAACAAGCTAAATGTGTAGGTAATCTTAAAATGAATAAACTTATCATTTAATGTTTCAAATTTTTGTGTCTTTTTAGTTTCATTTTGCTTTTTTTTTCAGTCCCAGATAAGAAAAGGCAGATGATGTCTGTCACTGGAGAAACAAGATGGAAGGAAGACCAACCTGCACTGAAGGACTGAGATCAACAGGATGCACAATAATGAACAACAGGACAAAGAGAAGGAAAACAATCACTGAGCTAATTTAAATTACAATTTGAATTGAATTAGCTAACCTGGATAGCAAGGTGTATCTATAGATTGTATGGGTTAATCACATACAGACCAATACTTGCTGATGGGTAACGCTAAAGAAAATAATAGAATTTCACTCAGATAACTGAATCTTGGAAGCTGTGTTTTCCATATCAGCAGTGTGGCTGTTCTCCACTGACATCTACCATCAACAAGTCATTTTCACCCACAGGACTGCCACTCAGAATATGTTCTCTTTTTATGATCATTATCTGTAATTCGTACAGACAGATGTGAGAAAAACTCCCAGTAGATCAGTAGTTTCTGAAATACTTTGACCAGTCTGTGTGGCACCATCATCTATACCACTTTCAGAGACACTTTAACCATTTTATTCCTTATTCTGATTGAACTCAGCTTGAACGTCAGCAGGTTGCTTTGATCGTGTCTGCATGTCTGAATGCATTGAGTTGCTGTCATGTGATTGCCATTTGTGTTAACAAGCAATTTAACTGGTGTACCTAATTTGTTTAGTACAATAATTTAATACAATATATTAAAACCACTTGAAAAGCCACAGTCCGTTTATTTAGTGTCAATTTCTTCTTAAATTAGATCAGTAAAAAGTCTGGAGTTCATTCTAAAGCAGGGATTAAGCATCTGTGAGTCTGCTTAGGACCTGGTAATGTAAATTTTGCTATCAGGCAGTGACAGTGTTGGGACTAACGCGTTATTAAGTAACGCGTTACAGTAACTACGTTATTATTGTGGTAAGTGTGAACTGAACTTCAGGTAAGAAGTTATGACCTGCAGTCTCTCTGGGTCAGATATGAACCAAGTTTAGGTGGAGTTTATTTTCCTTATTCTGACTTTTTCCGTACTGCGTGCTAGCTAGCATGACGGAGCTGGGTGGTGCTATGAAGTTAATGATGTTGAACTTTATTTTGTTCATAAGTTATTAGAGTTGCCCGTCTGGTATTCAGAGAAAATATTACGCGTTTCTTATTGAGGTGAAAAGGAACAGTTTGTCCCGTAATTCAGCTACAATGAAAAAGGCACAAAGCTGGAGTTATTCTGTGTCTTTGCTGCACAGCTGCCTCTTCTTCTCTCATTCTCCCCCCTCCCTCTCCCGTTTCTACTTCAATCATGAAACTGATCAATGATCAGCTGATCGGCTCTCTTGTTTGTTTATCGCTCACTTTGCGCCGAAAGAGGAAACCAGCGGATGTCGCGCTAAACAACAGCAGCACGTTTAAGCTTGATCAGCTGTTGTTAGAATTTATTTAATATTAATTTCTAGTATCAGCTGATGTTTGCTGGAGCCACAGCTGTAAAGCTGCTGGTCATGATATCGGTTTGGTTATCTGGTGAGAGGGAAACATGAAGATGAAACCAGGAGATGTCCTTACTGGATCATCAGAGCTGTGATGGAGAAACAGGTTTACCTTTTAGGTGACATGAATGAGTTGAAGGGAAGTTATGAACTGTTTCTGAGAGACAAATAACACCAGGATCCTTTTTTAGGTAGCTGACAGCTGGTAACTGTGCAGGGGCGGGTCTAGCAAAGTGTTGCCAGGGGGTCCATGTAGGGCATTAACAGGGAGAGGGGGGCACAAGAAATACTTTTCTTTCTTATTCTCATTTAAAATGTCTTCGCTTTTAAAAAATAATTATCTGAATCTTACAACAAACGATTGATAGATTGATGCATATATACCATCAGAACAGTGAACATCACTGTCACAACAGTGTTTGTTTTCATTCAAAGGCTTTATGATTTTTCCTATAATGGTGGGCCGTCTCTAGTCAAAATGCCCGGGCCAATTTTCTGTCCCAGTCCAGCCCTGTATGCAGCTCATCTGCAGTCTGGTGTTACCTACATCTTCCTATTCAGAAGGCAGAATTTCAGAGTTCTGAGTACAATCAAAGCACCACGACTGCAGTTTTTGTGTTGGATGTAAAAGGCGCACATGACGCTGTGACGTAGGCTAGAATCATGGCAGCAGTCAATGACGGTCCAGGCGTGGGATTTCTCTCGTGGAAATGTGCACATTATCTTTTCCTTTCTATTGGTAGGTGGCACAGTGCACTTGTGGCAAGTAAGCAAGCTAGAAGACTGGCAAAGTTATGGAAGCAACACATTAACAAGAGAATTCTGAGTAAAACCAAAGTTACTTTCCCTAGTAACTAGTTACTTTGAAAGTAACGAGTGAAGTAACTGAGTTACTTTTGAGAGAAGTAACTAGTAATGTAACTAAGTTACTATTTTAAAGTAACTTACCCAACACTGGGCAGTGATTCCTCCTCAGAGAATTTACATTACAATGCTCCAACGATGCATGTTCCCCAGGTTGAGAATATCAAAGGAGTATAACAGGAATGTCAACTCAGCTATTGGGTCTCCAGCTGTCCATGTGTGTATTGGAGTAAAATCTAGTTTAAAGTTAAC